GGTGCACCAGAGAGCTCTGCATGAGAATTACAATAGTCAGATTGAGGCATCAAATCATGTGATAGCATAAGTGAAAAACCAAATTGAAGGTCACCTTGAGCAGTAAAGTTGAAAAGAGGTGGCAGAGGTCGCCCATTTGGCAAGCAAGCATTTGGTTCCCTTAAAGGATCAAAGAAAGGGTGTGCACATGCCTCCAACTGTCAATAAACACAAAATATGCTCAAATTCCCCCAGAAAACAGACATCAAGCACGTTTAAAGGAGTAATACAACATTACTGAAAACTACTTTCAACAAAAATTCTGTCTTTTACTATTTGTACCTTTATAAGCATGCATGAAAGATCACATTAAAGAATTGCAAGCAAACCGAATTGTTTCATGGGCACTGAATGATGCGCTAAAAGCACATAAATTGAGGACTCATTAAACAGGACACAAATATTCCACCGAGTTTGAAGGGTGGGGAAAAGGAGAATTCCATAATAACCTAACTTCTCGAAAACTAAAAGGAAAATTCGAAACTTACAGCAGTACAACGTAGAGTTGGAGAATATTGAAGAAGCCTTGATACAAGATCTACTGCTTCAGGAGGCATTCTTTTATGAAATATCTGCAGATTGCAATCTAGTTAGATTTGATCCATGCTAGACTCGTGTGAGGGTGAGTGGACAACAAACTTCACCAAGGGAACAAAGAGGTGAAAGGGGGAAAAATCGGTTACATCCACCAAATAAGTTTCACTAACCTTGTGCCACGGGTGAGCTTTGATCTGGGGAAACTTGAACTCTGTGTAGTTTGGATTCATGCACCTAATCTCCTCTCTAGTTGGTGTCCCCAAAATCTGACATGCGCCAAGTATAAAAAGACTAAGTAAAATTAGGCATCCAAATTGACAGAGATTAAAACCACCTAACATTAGCAATTAGAGTCCCTAGATTGCACACCTTGATGATTTCCACCAGCTGATCAACACCACTTTCTCCGGGGAAAAGAGGCTACAAATATTACAGCAGTAAACTATCAGACTAATGTATTCAAGGTCACCAACATATATTTCTGTTTATTCATTAGTTTTCTTAATCGTGAACTTTTTGGAATTGGATTGCTCAGAAACGAGAACACGTGAAGCAGAACTTTAAACTACACATATAAACTAACCTGTCCCAGAAGTAGCTCAGCCATAACACAACCAGCAGACCACATGTCAATTGCAGTTGTGTACTCCGTAGCCCCAAAGATCAATTCAGGGGCCCTATAATAACGAGAACAAATGTATGATATGTTGGGCTCTCCAGGCACCTAAAGCAAAAAGGCAAAATATTAGGAACTTCTCTAACTGTAAAGGAAGAAGAAAACTTGGTTAAGAAGAAACATCACATACCAACATCTTTGCACTCCCAAAATCACAGAGCTTTAGCTGATGTGTGTGGGGATTAACCTTCAGAAGTTGGATAAGCCAAAAATAGTCAGGACAGGTACGGGAGAAGGAGCGAAGGGAGAAGAAAAGCAAGCAGTAACAGACTATCCGACATAAAACTCCAGTTTACCACAACATGGGATACAGTAACTTTTTCGAGTCATTTTGGCATGCAAATGGAAGAGCTATAAATATCTAAAAGCAACAAGCATGTCCAGAGGGAAAATTGAGTGCTCACCAAAAGATTCTGTGGTTTAATATCACGATGGCATACACCAAGAACACCATGCATGTAATTCAAAGCCCGACATATCTGCAAAATTTATAATTTAGAGGAAGAATTCATTTAATCTCTGAAATCAAGATAGTTCGTGAAACAATACATCTGCGTTGCAAGAATCTGAAATTAAACAACCATGATAAGAAAATTGAAGAATCCAGCAATAAGCTCACCTGGTATGTGTATAGCTGCACATATATAATGGGCATGTGTTGGTTCATTCTGCTGTAGTGCCTTGAAACTCGGTAAACAGTTTCAGAAACATATTCAAGGACAAGGTTAAGGTAGACTTCATTCTTTTCAGTAGTAGAATAGAAGCAGTGTCTTAGTTTAACAACATTAGGATGATCAAGCGTGCGCATAATCTGAAGTTCTCTGTTCTTATATCTCCTATCTTGTAAGACTTTCTTTATAGCAACAGATTCACCAGTTTCCAAGCACTTCGCCTGACATATATATAAAATGGGTGAAGAGTGAATCAATAAAGTCATCCAGACAACTGCAAAGCTTCCATCAACCTAGCACTTTCAATAGACGTTAGATAAATATATAAATTTACCTGAAATACAGTTCCAAATGAACCAGTACCAACCACGCGCTCCGCCATGTAAGACAATGTCTGGGACAACAGTATGAGGTCAACTTCTAATTGAGCTAAAATGAAACCTAAAAGAGTATAGTGGGGATAATAAGAAATTAAATTATATTCAACTAGTTCACCTGTTTCTGTTGTCCATTTCGACCACTCACAGTAGTCACAATTATCTGACCAGTTTCCGTTCCATTACCACTAACAACAGCAGGTTCCATATCCTATGGGATACAAGATAGATCAGCAACATTTTCAGAATTTTAAAGACATCAACTTTATGTACTAAATTAGTCCGGAAAGAGCACATGCGTGGAAGATACCTTTAAATTATCCTCATGACTATCAGCTTTTTCGTCTTTAATTTTCATTTCATGCATTTCTTTAGGAAGCTCATCAAACTCCGAATTTTCTGGTCTAGTATCCATAGTTGATGTGCTTCCAGTAGTTGTGCCCTTAGAAGTAGAAGCCATATCCTCTTTTGGAACTATAGTTGTACATCTCTCTTCCATTTGAGTTTCACCAACCACCCTTTGATCTACTTCTTGCTCAACCTTCACCCTCTTTATGCTTGAATCGCCACCCTGTTAAAATCAGTAATATATCACATTCTTTAGATGAATTACTGATAAATCTAATAAAAAATAATATGAAATCAAGCTTCCATTATAAATCTCATATCAGTTCATCCTAACAAAATTTGGGACACAACAGCCAGATATTACCAGAGTAAGCAGGCCTATGGGGTGCAAGATTCCAACTCTCCCAACCCTCACCTACCCAGCCCAAAAACAAAAAAAAAAAGCATAAAACAAAATAAAAGTCAAATAAGCAAATGATCTTCCAAATGGCATTTATCTTCTTGCAACCGTTGAGCCTCAACTTTTTCTTAATTATTAGTCGCACATATTTAGAGCTAATATGATGAATAAAATCACTGTAAAGCTTCTTTTCCCCCCTCAAGAATCACAAAGAAGCATTCAACACAAATATCATCGACCCCAAAAGAAAAAACTAAAAAAACAGAATTTAAATTCCAAATTCAAAAAGTAAACATCTTTCTTCTCAAATTTCCTAATCAAAACAAACCATATGATGAAAATTAACAAGAAAACAGTAAATTCCCATATTTTTCATTTAGTTTCTCTAATTCCCAACCTTCTATACAAATCACTTCACTTGATTCCCCTCTATCTAGACGCATTAAGAAAACAACGATTAACATTTAATTCAATCCTAATTCCTAGACTAGCTAGGTTATGTTATATTGTATAAAACATATATCTTTATTTCGCTCTATTTTGACCAGTTTAAGAGAAACAAAGAAAAAGAAAGGCAGAGATAGAAAATTACAGGATCTGAAACGGAGGAACGTCCAGAAGCAATGCTCTTAAGGCGACGCATGACATTCATCTCTGCTTCGCCCAAGAGCACAAAAAACCACCGCTTACCCACAAATTTTTAAGAGTTTTTTACTAACTCTCCTCCTCTTTCCTCAAACACCTGAAAGTTTTTCTTCAATGGTAGAGAGAAAGAGAGAGAAAAGGAAGAAGATAGAGAGAAGGTTGAACTTTGAAATACCAAAATGTGAAAATATGACTACTACAATAAAAGGCCCCTTCTCCTCTCTCTCTCCTCTCCTCTCCTTTTGTGTCCAAAAGAGAAAAGAAATTCCCTAAACATGATAAGAGTTACTATTTGTATTCCTTTCTCTAATTTTACTTTTTTATATATATTATTTTCCTTCTAAAAAATTAATATGATTTTATGTAATTTCAAAATATGAAATAATTTTTATTTTAAAATTTAGAAAATCACGTTTTGAATCATATTTTTAGGGAGTAATACTTTCAGGTAATTATATAAAAAACATGTAAAAATGTTTTTTATAAAATCGCGTCGTTTTTTAATTTGGGAATGTAATTGTAAATAGACAAAGAAAAGTATCTTATTTTTCTCTCTAATCTCTAATATTCAAATCAAAATTCAAAATCTCACTGGTCAAAGTCATGACCGAAAGGCCCAATCATTCCTGTCTGCATATTTTTTCGTACTTGCAGTCAAACTTTAATTTTGAACCGTGGATCTAACATCATGGTGAATCAAACGGTGGATGCCTCGGGAGATTAATTGAAATGACAATAATGTCCTTAGCATGGGAAGGGATTTACGAGGGGGCGTGCGATTTGAGACAATAATTATGCCAGCGGAATATTCGCGGGGGCCTTTTTGTCTAACACTTTGACTAGTCCTTATCCTTTTCGCGGTTTGTTTATGACTTTGAATTCTTTTGGATTACTTTGGAAATTTTGAACAACCATGGAAAAAAGGGAGGATCCAATGTCCCAATGTGTCCAAAATAACCTTATTTATCTACACAAAACATTTAGCTATCATTTTGAAAATAAATTTTGTTGGAACTAAGGGTGTGTTTGGTATAACTTTCTTGGAAAATAAATAGTAATTTTATTCATTTTTTGGTGTTTGGTACGCGTAAACTTCCAAACACATAAATCTCTGAACTCATAACTTTGGAACTTGTAAAATTTCGAACATACAAACCGAAAGATGGAAAAACTAAAACTGAAAATATATTTAAAAAAATATTTTTTTTCGGGGGGCAGGAGGCAGGGCAGGGCGGGGTGTGTGCGCGCGCGCGCAGAAAAACGAAAAAATAGAAATTTAAAATTACAA